ATGTGAAGTTCCTTGAAAAGATATATATACATTTCATTGTTCAAGGGTATTCAAGGTTACCAAAATAAATGTTAAAGCCACAAATGGCCATCAAATGTAATAGGAGAATGATTATGTTTGTAATTAAAAAGCAGTGCTCTCTTCACACAGGTCCTGCGCTCTCGTCATGCTGAGATAAGAGAGCGTGTGGTTTTTGTTTACCGTGCCGTGCATGAAGTGTGACCTCTCTGGCCTCTGCGCTGATAGAAACCTGGCTGGACAGTGTGAACGTGGGGGAGGGGGGAGTTATGAGAGAGTGTTAGGAGAGGGAGAGGGGGGGTGTTTTTCAAAGAGTTCAAGGACTTGGACCAAGGACAGTTTTAATGTGGTGCTACTGCTGATCCTGCAATTAAGAATGACGGTCCATATAGTTACAGACTTCATACACTGAGCTGTGTGCTGTGGGGGACAGGACATATGCATACTGGATCTTCATAAGACTTTATACATTCATCTGCATGTTTTGGCACTGAGGTCAGCTCTGTCCACATGAGACGACTGTCCAAGCACAGATGCTACAGACGTGACCAGGAAACTTGCATTCTTCAGCCTGAGTATAAACCCTGTGTTTACTCTGCGCTGTCCTGTACCCCCAAGAAATATGTCCTCTGGGACAATTTCAACGTGGGCCTCCTCGAGGTTTCTCATTTTCTCCCCTTGGGTTTTTAGTTTTTCCTTACCAATGCAGGAGGGTCTAAGGACAGTGGCGATGATCCAGGACACCCAACATTCAACAGTATTTATGGACCTTATCAACATTTGCCCTTATGGACCAATGGCTATATGTGTTTTTTACAGTATGTTTTGTTTATCTTTCCACTTCCTGTGGTTGAACCGTTCGATTCTCTGATCTGTGTCGGCCAATCGACTTTGAAAAGTCCTCCGAGATAACTAGCACCAGTTGTGATTTAGGGCTATAGTAAAATAAATTGATTGGAATTTAATTGGACATAATAAATGTTATAGAACATGGAAGAATAAAACCATTTGGATATGTTTCTGATTTACCAAGTGACAGGTGGAGACAGACATCATGCACTGTGGTAACAGCGGCTGTTATCCATGGACTGTCCATCCAGTAACAAGCTGTGAGTGAACTTCAGGACACACTGCTGGACTTCAGGACACTTTGGAATCTGTCTCAATATACTGTATTATTGTCTTTATGGTTGAGTCGTTAGACCGTGAGAGGTTGCATCACATGGTGTGCCGGCTGCTTAAACATTAGTTTGCTCTGGTTATTGTTTTCAGTGTGTGGTTTTACTTCTACAAGACATATATAAGACGACAAGTGTCTGCTCAGCGGCACCTGTGTACTGTACCTTGCATGATATTCACCCAGATTATTGTCTATTTCTGAAGCAGCTTAATACATTGAAACGCAGTGCACAGTCCAAGAGCACAATAATTGTTAAGCTCTCATGAATGTAGCAGCCAGCAGTCTCCCACCCATGTACCATGTAATGCTTAGCTTTGGTGTGGCCACAATTGATTTTAACAAAGAGAGCTTGGTGTAATGTGTGAGTAGTAATGACTGATAATGAGTTCATGTTCACTAGAATGACTGAGAATGAAGTGCAGAGTAATTATGAAATAAACTTCACCCATTGCACATCATAATGAAAGTGATACATGGCAAGGCAATTTTAGTTGTATACCGCAGTTCATACAGAAGAAAACAAAGTGCTTAACAAAACAAGACTGAAACAATCATACAAGGCACAAATAATCAGAGTACATTCAAAAGAGTGAAGCCACAATCAGTTGTATACACAGCTATATAGAGCTTTTGTCAGAGTAGAAGCCTGTCTCACATGTTCTGCTCAGTGGAACACCATAGTGTTGCATCAAACAGTTAAATGGCGGTTGTCTGCATTCAGAAGGCTCTGCTGTTATGGCTGTGTGATTCTCCTCACAAGCAGATGCCAAATTCTGTTCACAAACACATGTAACACAATAACCACCTGAACTCGTATTTACACTGTTCAAAGCACGTTGAGCAGATATGTGCTCGCTAAATCCTGCTGGAATATGTATTTAGAATATCTACTCTAATGGAAAATATTTACCTTACTGTACAGTAATAAAACAATTCAGTGTTTCACATTAACCCTTGTTCCTTTCAGACTTCGCGACACAAGTGCGTCAAAATGACTTGGACATTTAAAACCAAAAAAACAAAGCAGACAGATGGATCGGTTCATGGGTGCAGTGATGCAGCCTTTGCCTCAAACTGTTGTGGTGAAGAGGGAGCAGCGTCTGTAGTCAGAGCTGTATCGAACAATTGAGGTGAAGAGGGAGCTGAGCCAAAAGGCAAAGCTGTGGATTTACCCACCCTCACTGGCAGAGTGGCTGGGGCACTCCCTTATAGAGATAGGTGGAGGAGCTCAGTCACAGAGTGGGAGCTCTAGAGTAGAGTTGCTGCTTCTCCACATCGAGAGAAGCCAGTTGAGGTGGCTAAGTGATCTGTTTCGGATGCCATATCCCACAGTGAGGAGACCAAGGGAAGACCCAGGACACGTTGGAGGGACTATGTCTCTCAGCTGGCCTGGGAACGCCTCAAGAATCCCCCGGATTAGGTAGAGGAAGTGTATGTGGAAAGGGAAATCTAAGCGTCTCTGCTTGGAGAGTTGTCCCCAGATTTCAGTGACTAATAAAGCATTTTAAACTAATAACCAATCCACCTAATCCTTGATTAAAAGTTGAGTATTGTAAAATAAGGGGTAGAGACAGGGTGAGGATAGTGATAGTCCCCTCTTGGGTCAGGGTAAGCGAGTGTGCACAGCAGTCAGCCAATCAAAATTCAGCCGACCACAGCAGCTCTCTGATCCTGCTGCTTCCACTTCACACTCACCCGGTTATTTCACAAAGAAGATTTAAGGACAAAAAGGTAATTATCTTCTGCTTGACAAATTGCGTGAGGCATGCAGGAGGAAGATTCTGCTGGACTTGTGAGTACAAAGGAGAAGCCACTTTTAAAATATCCAATATAATATTAATGTTGCAGTTCATCCAAAGTACGGTATCATCATTGCCCGTTTCATGGTTCTTTGTAAATCACTTTGATTTCTTATGTAAAAGTCTCAATGTAGTAAAGAGCGTTTATTAAACTATTAAATTCATTTAAGGTTTTAAGAAGGTGGAGTCCTTGTTTTAAAAATGTACATATGCATGTGAGATCTAAATCTCACATGCAATGTAATGTCTAATTCAGGAAACACAGTTGTAGAAATTATCCAAACAAATGTCACAGTGACTCATTTGGACTTAAAAAGCCATGGTTTAGCACTCTGTATGGTCATATTATTCATATTTTGATATTTTTTTGGTAAATGCATACATGTCCCCTAACAACTGACCAATCTTCCTCTGTCTCTGAATTTGGCGTGCGAAATAACGAGCTAGAACAAACCAGTGCTTCTTTTGATTCGTTCTTTGGTTGCTCGGTAGTGGCTGTCCCTAAATTTACACCAAAGTAGCGTTGGGAATTCCTCCACTCAAATGAAGTTCTTTACAACTGCTTACCTTTGATTAGATCTTATCATGTTACATTAAGATATAAATCTGGTAGAATATGATGTGCCACTGCATTTTTGTCATCTCTCAGGTTCTGTCCATGCATGGCTGCAGCATTGTGGAATTTTGGATGTCCGTTTAGCCAACAAAACTAATGTGGAAAAGTGTCTCGTTCTATACTGTATTTGTTTGCTCTTACAACTGTCCTACAACTCCAAAATATCCCCTTTGTGGGACAAACTAAGGTTATCTTCTCTTCTCTAATTTTACCCGGACAATATTTATATCCACTTTTTAAAACTGTTTTGTCTCTGAAGGGTTTCTCTGCTCTGTTCTGATCAGTGAAGAGTGAAAATTATGGTATTTTCTTCTTGTCTAAAATGTGTTTTTCCTTAAACTTGTCATAGTTCACCGTTTTGATTAAGTTGCGGTTGTGTTGTCTGAAATATTCTTTTGTAAAGTGTTATTATATTTACCTCCAAGGCAACCACATGTTTAGTGCTTCAATTATAGTCACACCTGTGGCGAGGTATAAAAATGCACAGAGAAAAATAAAATAAAAATGTTTATGTAATCCAGTAAACTTTCCAGTCAAATTAAGCAACTTACCAAGTAAGTAAAAATGGTCATACAAAGCACTTCACAATGTTTGTGGACTACCAATAATTTCCATTCTCTCCACACTCATAGCCAAAGCATATTCCTGGTTTGTGACTTCTTGTTACTCACAATGGCAATAAAAAGAATTGTGATTCTGATGACAGAAGCGACGCAGAAGACAGTGGCTGTCACTTTGCTCATGTTTTTAGTGGTCAGGGAGAACATGCAAACTTAACACAATTCTAGGCTAAAACTCCAGGCTTGGAGTTTTCATCTGAAAACACCTGGGTGTTCATCTAGATCACAACCTGGACTGGACTCATAATACAGACTCCCTCTTCAAGAAGGGCCTCTTCCTGCTGAGGAGGCTCAGGTCTTTTGAAGTGCAGGGGCCACTCCTGAAGACCTCTTATAACTCTTTGGTGGCATCAGCCATCAGCCAGCCTGACAAGGTCATTGGGAGGTCATGACCAGGAAGATAAGATAACATAAGATAAGATCTCATGATCTCACAATGGAGAAAATTACATGTTACATTTAGCATAGATAGAATTACTCTGACTCTAAAAGTTATACAAATTGTAAAAAGTGAGTTGTTCACATGATAGAATACAGTACAATCAGAAATACATTTCTAACATTATTTGCTAACATTTGTCTTAAACTCAAGAACAAAAGCTTCTCTATGACTGAGCTGGTGAAGACGAGGAGCTGTGTGGGCTTGCAGTACTTTTCACGCTGCTCCATTCCTCTAGATTGTGTATCAAATTAAGAAGTGTATCAGGCAGCATCACCTCACACATGTCTCCTTTGGTTTTAACCTGTCATTTGTTTGTGTTGTTCAGGGGTCAGTCTGCTGGTGCCTCACGGAGCTGTGCCTGAGGACAACACATGGGAGATGTACACAGCAATCACTCCCCCAGAGGCCAGGTCAGTCACCACACTCTGATGCATCCATACATTCAATATACAGTATATACACATAAACATGAGAACCTTTACTCAGTTGTATTGTCTTCAAAAAGAGCATTAGCAAGCTAGGGCTAGCTAATGTGGCTTGCCCTAGCTAGCCACATGATCCTTCTCTCGAGTTCCAGCTGGAGGCCAGTCTCTCGCCAAACCCTTGTAGTTCCGCCATGCTCCACCAGAGGCGTTTTGCTTCACAAACAAGGGTCTGGGATCGAGCGCATTGTAGATTCCTTCAGGAGATCAAAAAATAATCGGCCAATCAGGATCGCCGGTGTAAAGTTGTGTTTGCACCGCCTTCTCATGTCTCAGGCGGCAGCAAAAGCAATCCAAGATGGTGGACATAAATTCCGTCAATTTATTTAAAAGTTTAAATATGAACGAATTGAGACACGGATGTCACTTTTAATGCAAAATGAGGCGAGATGTTGATGGTTCCATGTTGTTATACTGTATGTGCGTTTTAAGAGTCAAATGTCTGTGTAAAGCTTGGTTTAAGTACTGATTTAGGTGTTCCTTTTTACAACACTATGCTGCAGGGTTGCCAGGTTGGGTGGTTTCCCGCATACTTTTTTTCTAAGCGACTTGTAGGTAATAAATAAACAGAAAGACAATAAAAAAGAATCATGATAGCCCATGTTGATTGCATTACGTTTTTAGCCAAATATCATTCTGGGTGTTTTTTATTTTGGGCATTCTCGCTAGTTTTGGGCTGGAAAATCTTGCCGCCATTTGGCAACCCATGGAAGTTGTGTGCTGAATTGTGTGCTTCGATGTGAGTGGTTGAAGGAAAACGTCACTCAAGTGGCGTCAAACAAGTGGTTTATCCAATCACATACAAGGATTTTTTTAACAAGGCCCGCCTTCTGAAATGTATCCGCTATGAAGCAGACCCAAACTCTTGTGTGGAGCTCAGTGAAATATAAGGGTCTGGGAAGAGTCAGGCTAAGTCTCTATACTCCTAAGAGAAAGAGTTAGCTCATATGTCACTAATATGTCACAGATGTTCTTTGGTGCAAGGCTATGGAAAGACTTGTACTCCAGCAGAGGTGCTTTAAAGTCTATTGTCTGAGCCACAAGAAGCCAGTGCAGGACTTGAGAACTGGACCAATGAGATTGTATTTCCTGGTTCTAGACTCCAGCTGCAGCGTTTTGAATATACAGTACTTTAGCTGTGGACTCACCACCTGCAGGAGGATCAGTGAGGGGCTGGTGCTCTGTGTACTGGGTGCAGCTCTGAATGCCACCCCCCCCCCCCGACCCAGAAATGGATTAAGGGGAAGAAAATGGATGGATGGATAGCTTGTTTGAAGAAACCAGTGAGCAGGCTGTTACAGCAGTCTAACTTACTGGAAATGAATGCAGTAAAAGAATCTCCAACTCTGCTCTATACGATAAATGTTCGATTTTGGTAATGTGTTTTGGATGGAAAAAGCTGCAGATGGAACTGATTTAACAGGCCATGTTAATTGGTTTAGTTAACATATCAATAAATGGTACCAGCACATTTTATTACTCTTGGAATCAGTCCTCACATTAGAGATTGTTTGTTGTTTTAATCTTCTCTTCCAGTCCCCTAAGGATATAGAGATGTTATCGAGCGGTGCACAAAGCGCAACCATGTTTAAAATGTAAATACAATCCGGTCTTATTGCTGAGATTATTGCTCACTTAACAGCGCAGGCAACATTTAACAATCCCAATAAGGGAAATAGACTAAATAACGTGCTTCCGTCCTATTAAAAAGATGCAAGCAGAAACACAAAGCTGTAGAGAAAATATTTTGGGAAACTAAAAGTAATTGTAAAAGTAGCCATCTGGACATAACAACAGATTTGTAATGTGGAGTGAAAATAATCGGAAAGACAAACTAGAAACCGTCAGGGAGAAGTGTGTGTGTGTGTTTGTGTGTGGTCTGTAATTTGTGTGCATGTGTGTATCTGTCTCTGCACATGACAAACTAGGATTTCAAAATAGTATACCAGATTTGATACAAGACCATTTAGACAGAAGGGACGGGGGATGTTTTTGTGCTCAAAGTTCCTCATTTCACCGAGGACATGATTTTTCTGAATCTGTCTTCTTATATGTGATATGTCAGCTGCGTGATTGAATCTAATGCAACAATACAAACTATACTTTTAAACATTGACACATCTCGTTCAAATGAACTGCTTTTCAATGGAAACGAGAGATGAACAAGATGTGGGTCAGACTTGAGGAGACAGGCCCACGCACAGTTTGAATACATGCTTCTACTTTCATCTTGTTCCCCAACCTTCATTCACTAATATACTGTACCTCGACTTTAAAGGGTAGGGAGCTTGGGTAATCAAGCTTTCAAATCACAAAAAATAGAACATGTCTTTTCATCTCCATTACTAGTTCCTTTGTCTAAAACTGTTTGTTTCTATCACTAGTTCTCACAGGATTGTATTTTTGGCCTCTGTCACATCTTTAGTTCAGCCTTTTCAGGCAGAAAATTTAAAAAGAGAGGACCGCCAGTCAGCTCTCAGCTAAAATGACTCACAGGGATCAGGGGTATATTCTAATAAAGGTGTGTAGTGTGTGATCTGATTCGGTCATGTTTCTATTCATATTTTTTATTTCTACTTTTTAGTAGAACGAGACAATTTATGTATGAGACTGTTTCATATTTTAGCTCCATACATTTTAAGCCCCATGTTTAGTCCTGACTCTGGGCACCAGCAGGAAGCCAGTCTCTGTGCTCCCCAGAGTGTCAGCAGGAGGCCAGTCCCTCTGCTGCTCAGAGTCAGAGTTATGTGATGAAAGAGAGTTACCCTAGCTTTAGGTAAATTGTATAACTATTATGATATTTTGTATCCCAACTGTCCTTCATCAGGAACTTGCCCGTTGCACTCATACAATAGAACCGAAGAATTTCTAAAATGAGCCATGAAATTTTGCCACGCTGATTCTCCAAACTGTGCAGAGCTGTATACGCGGACACATGTGGACAGTGGCCTCCCTGCACAGCACGGACGCATTTCCCATGAGGCCGTGTGACCAATCCACACCACAGTGCTCCTCTTCTGCCCTGCTCCTGTCGCTAAAGCAGAGCAGTGGGAGGCGAGCGAGGTGTCGATTTATACAGGCAGCCTCTGGGGCACGTCTGTAGACTTTTGAAGTGCTGGACCGCGTTTCCCAGCATGCATCTCTGGAGGAAGCTCGGAAATGGTTGAATCGAAGAAGAGGGACTCGGGGGAGAATGAATGACGGGAGGTGTGTGTTGGGCTTACTGTCCACTTTAGACCTGTATAGATGTGTTCCTGTGCGATGGAAAAGGAATGATTTTTCATTTACTGGATTTTTTTTGGTTTAAGGTCAGATCTCATGCAACATTTTAACTGTATAGTATCCTCATTAATATATCTGACACAAACAACTCTTGTTTCTAAATTAGATATTTTTTCCTAATTTATCACACAATGAGGTAATGGACAAAGCTGTTATCTGCCTTTTAAAACAAAAATATTACCTCTTAATAGCCTTGTCAATGTTTGCATTCAAATCACAATATTCATTTCAATTGTGCGCCTTCAGTTAGACTAAACCCGGGGTGTCAAACCAGTCCTCAAAGGGCCGGTGTGGCTGCAGGTTTTCATTCAAACCAAGCAGGAGCACACCAGACTCACGAGTCAGTATCACAGAGACTCACGAGTCACTATCACAGGGACTCACGAGTCACTATCACAGGGACTCACGAGTCACTATCACAGGGACTCACGAGTCACTATCACAGGGACTCACGAGTCACTATCACAGGGACTCACGAGTCCCTATCACAGAGACTCACGAGTCACTATCACAGAGACTCACGAGTCACTATCACAGAGACTCACGAGTCACTATCACAGAGACTCACGAGTCAGTATCACAGAGACTCACGAGTCACTATCACAGGGACTCACGAGTCACTATCACAGAGACTCACGAGTCACTATCACAGGGACTCACGAGTCACTATCGCAGAGACTCACGAGTTACTAACGCAGAGACTCATGAGTTACTATCACAGGGACTCATGAGTCACTATCACAGGGACTCATGAGTCACTATCACAGGGACTCATGAGTCACTATCACAGGGACTCATGAGTCACTATCACAGGGACTCATGAGTCACTATCACAGAGACTCATGAGTCACTATCACAGGGACTCACGGGTGACTATCATAGGACCAAGCAGAGTGTTACAACACAACAAGACAAGGCAGATGGGGTCGAAGCAGTACCAGGTGCAGCTGTAGGAACATGAGAAAAAACAGTTCGAGAAACACTAGATATGCTCAGCTTTGTTTTGGGGCTTTTTTATTTTTGGTTTATTTAAAACCAACAAAATCTGATTGGACTGATCATTGTGAAAAGTCCAAATGATTCTTCTTTTGAAAAGAAAGGAGGAGCATCTGGCAGGTCCAATAATACATGTCTGCGGTTTAGGGGCCTATCTTAATATTCTCAAGATCACATTACGAGCCATTGGACATGAACAGTAACTAATTTTGTTTTCTTGAAGGTAACTGTCTGATTTTGAGTCTGGTGTAGACTCCAACACTGTAACCCTTCCTTCCATCTCTCTCGCTCCATTTTCTCTTTCCCCTTTTGCTATTCCCACAATATCTAACCTCTCCCCCCCTCTCCTCTTCGCTGTGGTGCTTTTAAGCCGTGATAGCGCTGCTCCTCTGCACCATGTTTACTACTCGCAGATGTGTCCCCCGAAGCCTGGTGCGCCTGTCATCTCTGCACCTGCCAATCAGCTGCCAGTCTGCAGCGGGACAGGCTTCCAGACAGATATAGAGCTATAGGCGCACGCTCACATCACTGCACAGGTGCACACGTTCTGCTCTGGCTTCACTTCAATGTCTTATTCGCTCGCTGAATAGTGGCAGGCGTGGCTTGCACCAGAACAATACGAAAGGGTCATAGCACGCACACTGCACTTTTCGCATCTTTGACCATGTT